TAATAATTTGATTGATTTATTCATTTCTATTATAAAATAAAAATAAAATGATTAAAATGAAATAATAATAGAAATAAATAATAAAATAGATAATGAATAATAAATATATCAAATAATATGATTATAAACAATTCTGAATATAAAAATAATGATTAATATTAACATATCAATATTTAATAACAATAATAACAAATATTTTATAACATAAAATGATAATGAAAATATAAAATAAACATATAATGAATAAAATAAATAATATATAATAACATTAATTAATTAAAATAATTATTTCATTTAATATGTTATTTCATATAATTATTTATTTCAATATCATAATATTGATAAATACATTATCATTTCATATAAAATCATTATTATAATATTAAAATTAAATTAAATAATAATATAAAATGAATATTTTATATATTTTATATATATTTATTATTTTATATAGATATTCATATTTTATACATTAAATAAAATTTATTAATATTCAAATATGCTAATAAATAAAAGAGATTTATTAATCAAACTGAAAAGAAATGAAAATTGAATGAAATTAAAATTAAATTATTTTCTTATTTGAATTTAATGATATTTTGTAAATGAATAAATAAATCAAGATGAAATTAGAGAATATAATTATTAATGTACAATTAAATTATATTTTAAATATCATCTTATTAAATTATTATTAAAAATAATTGAAAATTAGAATAATTATTAATTTAATAACATTTATAAACATTATATAATGTTATTTCTTGTTGTAAATTAATGTTTATTTTCATTATATTTTATATAACGATTAAATATTCTATATTTTGTATAAATTATGTTTATTATAATTTATTTTTGATTTATATTTATTTAATTTTAATTGTAAAATATCATTCATTTTATGTTGATTTATAATGTATTTGAAAGAAATGATAAAATATGAAATGAATAAGAAATAAAACAATAAAATTAATTATAATTAATCATACAAATGATAATAAATGTTTATTATGTAATTTTATCATTAAAATATTTTTAAATTAAATGATAATCTAAATTCAATTATAAAATAAATTATTTGTTATTATATTTGTTAGTGTTTCTTGTTTTAATGATTATAAATACATTCAATAATGTTAATACAATAATAAAAGAATAATTAAATATTTTTAATGAGTTAGAATTCATAAATGTTAAAATATATTAATTATCAATAAATTCAAACATTAAATATCATAACTTTATTCAACTCAATAATCAGAAAATTGATAAAGATGTTATGAACATAGGAGTGATAATAATTAATGAAATATAAAATGAATATAATAAGGTGAATATAATAAATATATTTGAACAATGTTATTTTTTGAAATTCAAAAACAATAGAATTAATGAAAAATAAAGAAGAATAATTATAAATTGAAAATATTGAGTTTAAAACGAAAAAGAATAAACAAAGAAAATAAAATATGAAATAAGTTAATTAATCAAAAAAAAAAAAATAAACATAATCATAATATAGAAAATAGAATAAAAATAGAAATATAAATGAAGTGATATTATATTAACTATTTTTTTAATTTTATTTATAACCTTTACATTAAACTAATAAAGCATTAACAAAGAAGAGTGATGAAATAATATTAATTCAATTATCATTTAAAATAATGAAATAAAACTATAAAATATTAATGAATAAAATATTTACAATTAATGAAATTAATATTTCATTATTGTAAATTATAAGAATTTCATGACTAATACATTTATGAAAAGTGTTAAAATATGTTAAATCAAATTCAATGAAATTGATAATAAGTATGTATATAATTAATTGTTAGATATAGTGTTATAATAATGTTTATAATATATTAATATATTATTATGATTTATTTTATATTTAATACTTCATTTAATATTTACTCATATTTACTTATTTATTATTTAGATGAATTATTTCTTTTTATATTTAATAATCTATATATGATTATTGTTATTTTCTTATATATTCATAACATTTCTATTTAAATATCATTATTTCAGTTATTTAATTAATCATTTGTATATTTTTATTCTTTCTTTTAAATGTTTTTATTCTTTTATTTCTTATTTATTGTTGTTCATTATTCTGATTTGTTTATATATTATTTGTATTTTATTATGATGTTTGTTTCTATTCTATTATTATTATTTGAATTAATGATAAATAGTTATGATGATGAAAAAGAAGTGATGAGTGAAATGATTCATATGATTATTATTAATTGTTATTATAATAGTTATTATTATTGTAATGTTTAATGTGATAATTAATGTAATTGTAACAACACAAGTAATACTTATTTTCATAGATTCTTCTATCATTGATATTTCATAATTGATATTGATTTGTCATTCTTTTGTTATTATGTTAATAAACTTATTCTTAATTATTAAATCTCAAGAAACATAGTAAATTTACACAATGTAATGTACATTAAGATGTGTTGATGAGAAATGAGAAAACATATGAATAATATTTGGATTAACCCATAAGAAATATTTCTTATAAAATAAAAGAAAGAAGTTAAGAAAATAAGAACTTTAGAAAAAAAAAATAAAAGAAATTGAGATGAAACAACTTAAAGTATGTTTAATAGGAGATTCTGGTGTTGGGAAAACAAGCCTTCTTTCTCGTTTTATTAACAATACATTTTCACCAACAACTGAATCTACTGTTGGTGCTAATTTTTTTATTCATGAATTTCATGTTGATGGGAAAATAACACAAGTTGCTTTATGGGATACAGCAAGTCAAGAACGATATCGTTCATTAGTAACAATGTATTACAGAAATACAAACGGTTGTTTAATTGTTTTTGGTTTAGATAATCGGGATAGTTTTTATAATATCAAAACATGGTATAACAATCTTATTCATACAGTTGGTACGGATGTTGCTATTATTATTGTTGGAAATAAAAACGATTTACCTGAAACCTCTATCACAGAACAGGAAATAAAAGCTTTAGCTAATGAATTACATTGTTCTTGGTGTCTTGTTTCTGCTAAAACTGGTGAAGGTGTTTCAAATGCTTTTGAAAGTATTGCCAGTATGTTACATATTACAAAAGACGAAGAAAGTGATGAACAACCACAACATAATTTAAACAATTCATCATCACAAAATATATGTTGTTAATTGATATAGTTTTATCACTTATCATTAAAATTTAAATAAAAGAATATAAAATAAAGAGAAAAGAATTATTTATTAGAATAAAAATGATATACAAGAATATATTAAATGATTTAAAATCATTTCTTCATTAAAAACTACATTCTATTTCTTCTTATATATTATATTTCTCATTTTTTCTTTTCTTCTTAAAAATTTAACACAAAATAATACAGGAGATTCAAATGATCATTTTCTAACACACTTATTGAGAATTCTTAGCATCTCTTAATCTTCTAATTGTTGATCTAACTGTGGCTCCTGAAATGGTAGACAAAGTATATGCTCCTCCTGCTATTTCTTTCTTACATCCTTTGCATTCCCAAATCCCACATGCTGTTCTTCTTACTGCTTCTTTACAACAGAATGGACAAACATATTTAGAATGTTGTGCAATTTCAATTTTCTTGATGACTTTACGAAGAGAAGCTCCATATCTTGTTCCGTATTTACCAACAATACCAACTTTCTTTGTTCGTCTAGCCATTGTAAAGTCACACTCTTACTTTTTAGTTGTTTTCTAAAACCTATTTTTTTTTTAAGGGTTTCTTCTTTATTTTCTGCTAATAATTTATTATTATAAAGATATAATAAAAGTATAGTTTAAATTAAATAAAAAAATTAGAAAACAATCTAACGTAAGTAAAAATTAATTAATGGAAACAGCTACTGAAGCAAATAACGATTTTGATTCTGATGTTCCTCTTCCATTAGATGGTGCAGAATTAACTACTCCAAGAGGAAATTCAGTTGTTTCATTTGTCTCAATTTTATATTCAATGGTAGATTGTAAAGAAAATTCCCAATATGTTTGTTTATTACCTTACAATAAGTTATTAAAATGAAGAAGAGTTAAGTAATAATTAAAACAGATACGTTGGTGTGAAAAAGATCAAGGACATTCATTTGAAATACTTGATGCAGTAGCATTTTCAAAAGAGATATTACCGAAATATTATAAACATACAAATTTTTGTGGGTTTAGTCGACAATTATCATTGTATGGATTTAAAAAAGTTTGCGATCCTTTTACTCTAAGAAACTTAAAATTTGAATATTCTCTTTTTGTCTACACGTTGTTTTTTGAACGTTCTACACAGTTAGTCGTTTAAAAATAACAAAAAAGAGAAATAAAAAACATTTTTATTTTAATATAGTAAAGAAAAAGATAGTTATTAATTGATATAG